TTCTTACCTTATTTACCTCTCCCTCGTTTTCCTTTTGTTTGCCTCTCTTCTCCATCTCCTTCCATTCTTGTCTACCCATCTGTCTCCCTCTCTTCCATTCTTTTTACCATTCTCACTCCCTATCTCCCTTCCTTATTTACCTTTCTCTCTCCCTCTTACCCTTCTCACTCCCTATCTTCCTTATTTACCAATCTCTCTCCTTCTCTTCCATTATTTTTACCCTTCTCACTCCCTATCTCTCTTTCTTATTTACCTTTCTCTCCCCTTCTCTTCCTTTTATTTACTCTTAAAGTCCCCCTTTTCCTCCTGTCTCTACTGTATATATTCTGCATTAACGTTGCTCTTGTTCTCTTAAATCCCTTGTTTACTGATTTTTTTCTCTTTCCTGTTCCTCTATATCCCTCTTTCCTGATTTTCGCTCTTCTCTTCCTCCCTGTCCCTTTATCCTTGTTATGCCATGGTTGTCTATTTTTTTTAATTTTCATCAGGTTTTCTTTTTTTTAATAATGGTTCCATTAACAGCTAACATCTGTCTCTTCTCTCCTCTCTCTAGTTTCTCTTTCTTTACTTTATCCCACATTTCAATTATCTTCACTTCTTCTTTTACTTTACTCTCTCCTTCTTTATTATGACTTTCACTTCCTCCTTTGATCATTTGCCATTCTCCCTCCATTCTCTTCTCGTTTTCCCTTCCCTCCCCCTTTCTTCCACTTATTCGCTCTTCTCTTACTTCCTATATCCTCTCTCCTCCACGTACCCACCTCTCGCTCCCATGATCCCTTATCCCTTCTTCTATTCATTCATTCTCCTCTTCCTTCCTTCCTTTAATTCATCCGCTAAACTCTCTCTCTCTCTTGCTGTTAATTCACTTTCCTCTCTTCCCTCCCCATCCTTCCATCTATTCCCAATTCCATGTTTTTTCTATTCCCCCTCCTCCTTTCTATCTAACCCCCACTTCCCCTCTCCTTCCTTATATCTATATACCAATCTCCTTTTTTTCTCCTCTCTCCCTCCTCCCTTCTGCATTTATCCCTTCCGTCCTGTCATTCATTCCCTATCCTATCTCCCCCTGTCTCCGTCCTTCCATTTCTCTCCTCCTCCTTCCTTCCTTCCTTCTTCCTTACCTTTCCCCTGATCAGCAGTAAATCGCTACCGTAGAGACTCATCACACGAAACTTGACGTCCTGACCCGGCTTGTACACCGCTTTGTCCGTCTGAAGCAAGGTCACGTTAGTTCTCGTGACCAGATCAACTTTTCGGGTCACCTCCTTTCCTGATCGTCCAGCGAGGTCAACTCCGCCCAATTGGCCTACGAAGACGAGGCTCAGACGGGTGGGGGGGCCGTGGGGAATAATCGCTTCTTGGCAGATCGTCGACTGGTCTGAGGGTGGAGAAAACGCGTGGGGATAAGGTCAAAGGGTAAGGCAGGAGAAGACGCAGAGCAAAACTTGCATCGATCTTCTTGTCTTGCTCGGGTCTCACTCAGCTGCCTTCTGCTTCGAGGAATTCCCTCTCACTTGCTTCCCTCTCCAACTCAAGATTTCCATCCCTTTCCCTGTCCCTCCGACCCCCGTCCGCCCCGTCTCCCCGCCCTCCTCCTCCTCCGACCCCCTTGTCTCCCCGCCCTCTCCTCCCCGACCCCCTGTCCCCCGCTCCTCCTCCTCGACCCCTTCCCCCCCGACCCCTGTCTCCCCGCCCTCCTCCTCCTCGACCCCCTTGTCTCCCCGCCCTCCTCCTCCGACCCCCCTGTCTCCCGCCTCCTCCTTCTCCGACCCCCTTGTCTCCCCCCCTTCCTCCGACCCCTGTCTCCTCCCCTCCTCCTCCGACCCCCCTTGTCTCCCCCCCCTCCACCCCCCTTGTCTCCCGCCTCCTCTCCGACCCCCTGTTCCCCCCGCCCTCCTCCTCCTCCGACCCCCCTTGTCCCCCGCCCTCCTCCTCCCCCTCCCCGCCCTCCTCCTCCTCCTCCGACCCCCCTTGTCTCCCCCGCCCTCCTCCTCCACCCCCTTGTTCTCCCCCCTCCTCCTCCTCCCCTCTCCTCCTCCTCCGACCCCCCTTCTCCTCCTCGCCTCCTCCTCCTCCTCCGACCCCCTTGTCTCCCCGCCCTCCTCCTCTCTCCTCCACCCCCTTGTCTCCCCGCCCTCTCCTCCTCCTCCTCCGACCCCCGTCCCCCCTCTCCCCGCCCTCCTCCTCCTCCTCCGACCCCCTTGTCTCCCCGCCCTCCTCCTCCTCCCTCCGACCCCCCTTGTCCCCTCCCTCTCCTCCCTCCTCCGACCCCCCTTGTCTCCCCGTCCTCCTCCTCCTCTCGCCCCCTTGTCTCCCCCTCCTCTCCTCCCCCCGCCCCCCTCCCGCCGACCCCCTCTCCTCCTCCCCGCCCTCCTCGCTCCTCCTCCTCCCCCCGCCCTCCTCCTCCTCCTCCGACCCCTTGTCTCCCTCCTCCTCCTCCTCCGACCCCCTTGTCTTCCCGCTCCTCCTCCTCCGACCCCCTCCCCCGCCCGACTCTCCCCGACCCCCTTGTCTCCCGCCCTCCTCTTTCCTCCTCCGACCCCCCTTGTCTCCCCGCTCCCCTCCTCCTCCGACCTCCCCGCTTCTCTCCCCGCCCTCTCTCCCCCCTCCCCCCCTCTCCCCGCCCTCCTCCTCCTCCGACCCCCTTGTCTCTCCCGCCCCCTCCTCCTCCGACCCCCTTGTCTCCCGCTCCTCCTCCTCCCCCCTTGTCTCCCCGCCCTCCTCCTCCGACCCCCTCCAACCCCCTTGCCTCCCCCCCTCCTCCTCCTCCGACCCCCCCCCCTCCCTCCTCCTCCTCCCCGCCCTCCTCCCCTCCTCCCCCTTATCCCCGCCCTCCTCCCCTCTCCCCCCCTTGTCTCCCGACCCCCCTTCCCCTCCCCTCCAACCCCCTCTCCCCGCTCCCCCCCGCCCTCCCACCCACTGACCTGCTGTAGATCGAAATTCACGACCGCAACAGCCCTCCTCCGACCCCCCGTCTCCCCGCCCTCCAACCCCCTCTTTCCCCCTCCCCGCCCTCTTCCCCCCCGCCCTCTCCTCGACCCACTGACCTCCCCCCCCCGCCCTCCTAACCGCCCTCACCCCCCTCTCCCCGCCTCCCCTCTTCCCCCCTGCCCTCCTCCCCCATCCTCCTCCGACCACAGACCTGGCTGTAGATAGAAATTCACGACCGCAACAGGCTTGCACCGACCGTCGCAGGCTGAGCGGTCCATGACCTTGACCCGTAATTTGTCGACCTCACCGATCTCGGCATCGAGCATGAGTGGCGTCAGGGCGTGGAGGCAGATGGCGTTCCCCTCGCCGGCTGTCCATCGGAGGGGCGTCGTCAGCAGGAACGAGCTGTTTGGGGAAGGAGGGGAGAGGGGAAAGGGAGGAAGAGGAGAGAGAGGAGAGAGAGAGGGGAGAGAGGGGAGAGGGGAGGAAAAGAGAGGGGAAAGGAGGGAGAGGGAAAGGGGAGAGAAGGTAGAAGGAGGGAGAGATGGGGAGAGGGGAGAAAAAGAGAGGGGAAGGGAGGGAGAGGAGGAAAAGGGAGAAGAGAAGAGAAGAGGGGGGAGAGAAAGGGGAGAGGAGGGAAAAGAGGGGAGAGAGGATGAAGAGGAGAGAAGGGATAGGGGAGAGGAGGGGGGAGAGAGGGGAAAGGAGGGAGAGGAGGAAAGGGAGAAGAGAGGGGAGAGAAGTTTTAAGGGAGGGGAGAGGGGAGGAAAGAGAGGGGAAGGAGGAGAGAGGAGAAAAGGGAGAAGAGAGGGAGAGAATTTTAAGGGAGGAGAGGGGAGGAAAAGAGAGGGAGAGGAGGAAGGAGAAGAGAGGGGAGAGAAGTTTTAAGGGAGGGGAGAGGGGAGGAAAAGAGAGGGGAAAGGAGGGAGAGGAGAAAAGGGAGAAGAGAGGGGAGAGAAGGGATAAGGGGAGGAAAAGAGAGGGGAAAGGAGGGAGAGGAGAAAAAGGGAGAAGAGAGGGGAGGAAAAGAGAGAGGGGAAAGAGGAGAGGAGAGAAGGGAGAGAGAAGAGAGGTATGAGGAAGAGGAGAAGAGAAAGAGAAAGAGAGAGAGGAGAAGAAAAAGAATGGATAGGAAGAGAATAGAAGGGAGAGGAGGGAAGTTGATGGGATGGAAGAAAGGAGATGAGAGAGAGGGAAGAGATGGAGAAGAGTATTGGAAAGGGAATTGAGGAATATGAGAAAAGAAAGGATGGAGGAAGAAGGAGAGGAGGGAGAGAGAAGCAGAGTTGGGTTAGGAGAAAAGACGGGAGGGGGGGGGGGAGGAGAGGAGAGGAGGGAGGTTTGAGGAGAAAGGAGAGGGTACGGGAGAGAGGAAAAGCGAGAAGAGGGAAGAGGGGAGGCGGATAGGAAAGGAGGGGAAGAAAAGAAGAGAGACGGGAGAGAATAGGAAAGGAGAGGGGAGAGAGAATAGGGAAGGAGGGGGAGAAAAGAGGAGAGGGGAGAGGGGAGGAGGATAGAGAATAGAAAGAAGGGGGAGGGAGAGAGAGAGGATAGAAAAGAAGAGAGGGGGGAGAAAAGGATAGGAGAGGGGGAGAAAAGAAGAGATGAGACAAGGGAAAAGAAAAGGGATAAATGCAAAGCAGTAATAGGGAGGGTAAGGGAAAGGGGAAAGAATAGGTGAAGAGAGCGGAGAGGAGGAACAGAGGGAGAGAAAGAGGACACGAGTTATTATCATTTCCATTCTATTCTTGTTTATCATAAATTCCCAGGACTGACTTCCTGTTTAATTGTTTCTCCTAATTTTTCACTATTCTTTCAATACTTTACGGAGAGAGTTCAATGCCAGAAGATAGTGAACCACACACGTGTAGGTGTATGGTACGAATGAGCACGTGTACGTCTGTGTACGTTTGTGTGTGTTGTGTGTGTGTGTGTGTACATGTTGTGTGTGTGTGTGTGTGCGTGTGTGTGTGCGTGTGCGTGTGTGTGTGGTGTGTGTGTGCTTATGACATTATTCGAAACCATATTCTTTTCAGTCACCTTTATCATGAAAAAAACTAACCTACTATATATTAAAGTAAGTCTATCCTTATTGCTAATACTTCTAGTCATCGTTTTCGCAAAGAAAAATGATTTCCGAAGAAATATTTTCAACAAAGAAATCTAAAAAAGGAATAACAATAAGCATAAAACATAAAGAAAGTGAAACATGAACTAAGCTGAGAGAAAAATAACACAATAAAGATAAATAAAGATAAATGAAATAATGAAAAAAAAAACCGTTACCGAATTTCTTGAAATTTTGCAACTAAAATCTTTTTTTTTTCAACGGAACGAAAAAAAAAAAAAAATCTTGCACTGTTGGATTTAAATCTTTCAAATCCTTTCAAAGAAGAGGCTTTTATTGAGACAATTAAACCATCAAAGCGGCCGCTAAAAGATAAATCAAATGAAAAAAAAAAAAAAAAAAAAAAAAACGTTACTGAATTTCTTGAAAATGTTGCAACTGAAGTCTTTCTTCAACGGAAAAAAACAATCTTGCACTGTTGGATATAAATCTTTCAAATCCTTTCCACAGGAGGAACCATAATTCTTATTATTTATCTTCTATTAAGACAATTTAACCTAACCCAACCCCATCGAGGTGAACATAGGCCTACCTCATTCGTCAGAGGTTAACAAACAAAAAACACAAACCGACACAAAAAATCACCAACTACTCCCCACTCCCAACACACTCAAAAAATTACCCATCACAAAACACCAGCATAAAAGCGGCCGCCAAGAGGACTTTGAGCGGAACAGAATGCACGCCGACCATGGTGACCGAGACGAACGTGTCCTCTCTCGTCGGAGGTCGAAGGGCGACTGGCGCGAAGACCGCTGGGCCGCTCTGCTCTCGCGGTCTCTGCCTGTCTCTCTACGTCTGTCTGAAGTTTGCCTGTCTGTTTCTCTGCGTCTGTCTGTCTGATTGTCTCTCTACGTCTGTCTGATTGTCTGTCTGTCTGATTGTCTCTCTGTCTGTCTGATTGTCTCTCTGTGTCTGTCTGATTGTCTGCCTGTTTATTTCTCTGCGTCTGTCTCTGTGCACCTGTTCAGTCGGTACGTGCTTGCGGCGAGGACATTGAAGTCACAGAGAGCTTTACATACTTTGGTAGAGTAGTTCATAACTCTGGGCTGTCAGACCATGAAGTCAGCAGACGGATTGGCCTGGCAGCAGGGGGTCATGAATTCTCTCAACAAGAGTATTTGGAGATGTCGGTACCTGTGCAGAAGGACCAAGCGACGGGTTTCAAGGCCCTGATAATGCCAGTTTTGCTATACGTTAGCGAAACCTGGACATTGTCTGTGCCTTGGAGGCTCGTCTTGAAGCCTTTTGTAATAGGTCCTTGCGCCAGATCATGGGGTACTGTTGGCGGGACCATGTGTCCAACCAAAGGTTGCACCGTGAGACTGGCACAACCTGTTACTGCACAATCCGTGATCGCCAACTCAGGCTATACGGCCACCTAGCTCGCTTTCCTCAGGATGATCCTGCCCATCAGGTCGTCTCTGGTCGAGACAACCCTGGGTGGAGGAGGCCTGTGGGACGACCGAGGAAGTCATGGCTTGGGCAGATCGACCAACCTGCCGTGAAGAACTAGAGATGGGCGAGTCCCTGCCTGGCGTCTAGCCATGAGGGATCCTCGTAGGTGGAAGCGAAGGGTGGATGCGGCTATGCGCCCGTCGGCGTCAGCCCCCTTGATGATGATGATGATGTCTCTCTGTCTGATTGCCTCTCTGCGTCTGTCTGATTGTCTCTCTGCCAGACTGTTTCTCTGCGTCTGTCTGATTGTCTGCTCTGTTCCCTGATGTCTGTTGTTGCCTGTTTATTTCTCTGCGTCTGTCTGTCTGATTGTCTCTCCCTGATTGTCTCTCTGTCTGTCTGATTGCCTGTCTCTGCTGTCTGTCTGCCTGATTGTCTCTCTGTGTCTGTCTGATTGTCTCTCTGTTCTGTCTGATTGTCTGCCTGTTTATCTTCTCTGCCTGTCTCTCTGCGTCTGTCCTGATGTCTGTCTGGATTGTCTGCGTTCTCGCGTTGTCTGATTGTCTCTCTGTCGTCTTGTCTGATTGTCTGCCTGTTGATTTCTCTGCCTCCTGTCTGTCTGATTGTCCTTCTGCGTGTTGTCTGTCTGATTTGTCTGCCTGTTTATTCTCTGCGTCTGCGTCTGTTGCCTGAATTGTCTCTCTGTGTCTGTCTGATTGTCCTGCCTGTTTCTCTTTCCTGCGTCTTTCTGTCTGATTGTTGCCTGTCGTCTCCGTGTCTGTCTGTCTGATTGTCTGCCTGTCTGTGTCTCTGCGTCTTCTTATCTGTCTGCCTGTGTGCCTGTCTCTCTGTCTGTCTCTTGGTCTCTGTCTGCCTGCCTGTTGTGTCTCTGACTGCTTCTCTGTCTTCTTATCTCTCTCTCTCTCGCTCTCTCTCTCTCTCTCTCTCTCTCTCTCTCTCTCTCTCTCCTCTCTCTCTCTCCTCTCTCTCTCTCTCTCTCTCTCTCTCTCATCCTCCTCTCTCTCTCTCTCTCTCTCTCTCTCTCTCTCTCTCTCTCTCTCTCCCTCTCTCTCTCTCTCTCTCTCTCTTCTCTCTCTCCCTCTCTCTCTCTCTCTCTCTGTATCTCTCTCTCTCTCTCATCTATCTATCCTCTATCTATCTATCTATCTATCTCTGTCTGTCTTTCGCCAATTCTCCCTCCTTTCTTTAAATTTTCTTAAAATCTTTCTTCAAAGGAACAAAAAAAAAAAAAAAAAAAAATCTTGCACAGTTGGATATAAATAATTCAAATCATTTTAAAGACTTACTTCATAGAAAAATCAAGCCCTTTATTTCTCATTTTGAATTCAAGCAATCTAACCTAACCTAAAGCTAGCCCGGAAAAGTTTAAACTGGGCTGTGTGTGTGTGTTTGTGTACATTGTGACTATATATACATTATATATATATATATATACATATATATATATATACTATATATATAATGTATATATAGATAGATGGATACATAGATAAATATATATTTATATATATACATTTATATTGTATATATATATACAGTATATATTTGTATATATATATATATATATATATATATTATATATATTTATATATATATATATATATATATATATATACATATAGAGAGAGAGAAGAGAGAAGAGAGGGAGATGAAATATATAAATATAGTGTGTATATATATATATATATATATATATATATATATATATATATATTATATATATATATATATATATATTATATATATGTATATACTATATATATATATGTATATATGTATATACTGATATTATTTATATATATATATATATATATTATATTATATATATAAATATATAATATATTATATATATCATATCATCATCATCATCATCATGGGGGCTGACGCCGACGGGGCGCATAGCCGCATCCACCCTTCGCTGTCCACCTACGAGGATACCTCATGGCTAGGCGCCAGGCAGGGACTCGGCCCCATCTCTAGTTTTCACGGCAGGTTTGGTCGATCTGCCACAAGCCATGACTTCCTCGGTCGTCCCAAAGGCCTCCTCCACCCAGGGTTGTCTCGAATAGAGACGAACCTGATGGGCAGGATCATCCTGAGGAAGCGAGCCAGGTGGCCATATAGCCTGAGTTGGCGATCACGGATTGGTGCAGATAACAGGGCTTGTGCCGGTCTCACGGTGCAACCGTTGGTTGGACACATGGTCCCGCCAACAGTACCCCATGATCTGGCGCAAGGACCTATTGCAAAAGGCTTCAAGACGAGGCCTCCAAGGCACAGGACAATGTCCAGGTTTCGTACCGTATAGCAAAACTGGCATTATCAGGGCCTTGAAAACCCGTAGCTTGGTCCTTCTGCACAGGTACCGACATCTCCAAATACTCTTGTTGAGAGGTTCTGACCCCTGCTGCCAGGCCAATCCGTCTGCTGACTTCATGGTCTGACAGCCCAGAGTTATGAACTACACTACCAAGGTATGTAAAGCTCTCTGTGACTTCAATGTCCTCGCCGCAAGCACGTACCGACTGTGAACAGGTTCTCCTAACAAGTCCCCAAATTCCTGGACCTTGGTCTTGGGCCAGGAGACCTTCTAGACCCAGGGGCTTCGTTCATTGCTAAAGTGCATCAAGAGCCGCTACTTAGGGTTTCCAAAGACTCAGATAGAATGGCAACGTCATCAGCAAAGTCAAGGTCTGTAATCTTGATATTGCCCAGCGTTGCCCCACAATGACTTTGAACAGTAGCTCTGCCCAGTATCCAGTCCATGCAAGTGTTGAAAAGAGTTGGTGCAAGGACACAGCCTTGCCTCACTCCTGAACTAACAGGAAAGAAGCTCGACAGGCCCCCACCACACTTTACAGCACTTTCAGTACCAGTATACAGGCTTGCCTATTAGTCCAATAATCCTTGTTGGTATTCCTCTCAGCCTCAGGATCTCCCAAAGTGACTCCCGATGCACCGTATCGAACGCCTTCTTGAGTCGATGTAGGCTGGAGCAGCCCACGCCCGAACTCACGACGGCGCTCTACAATGACTCGAAGCGCAAGGGATACGGTCTTTGTGGACTTACCAGGAGTGAATCCGGATTGCTCCAGTCTCTGGTGCCTCAGTAGATGGTCTCTGATACGTCTCAGAAGGATGTGGGCGAGAACCTTGCCTGGTACACTGAGCAGTGTGATACCTCGGTGATTGCTGCAGTCCCAACGGTCCCCCTTCCCCTTCCAGAGAGGATGACCACACCCCTCAACAGGTCAGGAGGAACGGAACCGGACTGCCAGATGGCAGCCAGGACAGCATGTAACCCCCGTGCCATAGGTTCACCACCAGCCTTTAACAGTTCAGCTGGTATGCCGCAGATACCAGCTGCTTTACCACTCTTCAGCTTGGAAATCGCCCCCTACTTCAGTTAGGGAGGGAGGGTCCTCACTGATGGGTGGATCGGCAGCGGGATCTCGACACTACCCGCATCCAAGTTAACTGTTGGTGGGGTCCACCTGGTACAGCTGCTCAAAATACTCAGCCAACGTCCCCGCACCGCAACAGGATCTGAAAACGATCTGACCACTTACTGAGCGAACTGCCTGTCACCTGTGAAGAGGGCTTGGAGTTCAGCTTTCTCAGGGCTTGGTATGCAGGACGAAGGTCATTTACTAAGAAATGGCCTTCTACCTCCTCTGCAAGACTCCTAATAAACTTTCCTTGTCCCTTCTTAACAGGGACCGAGTTCTGCGCACAAGAGAACGGTGCAATTCCGATCCCCTGTCAGACGAGCCGCACGACATGCATCTGTGGCTTCCAGTGTCTCCCGCGAGATGGAATTCTGTACTGCTCTCAGGCGTACACCAATCGTATCTTGGGCTGCATCAAGCGTTTCACGCTTAAAGGTATCCCACAGAAGAACAGGGTCTGTCAGACTGCCAAGCACTGCGAAACGATCGGAGATTGCCTCAGCAAACCCGCGGGCACACTCCCCCTCCCTCAGGCTGTCCAAATGAAACACCCCTAGGGTGATCATTTGACCGCTGGGGGGGTTTTGAAGTGGACCCGGAGGGTAGCCACAACCAATCTATGGTCAGTACCACAGAACTCAGCACTCCTGTACACCCTGCAATTCTGAAGGATCCTCCAACGAGTGCTAACAAGTATGTGGTCGATCTCCTTGGCTGCGTTACCCGCATCACTGTACCATGTCCAGCGATGTGGGTCTGGGCGCTGGTACCAGGAGCCAGATATCCTCAATTTCTGGGACCTAGCAAAGTCCCGAAAAGGAGGCTATTCTCGCTACCGGCATCAGCTCCTGAACCATGGGG